GATTAAACCGACAATTTTATGGTGACAGTGGGGATATCCGGAACATGTCGGGAGATGAATATTTCACTACAGTGATACAGACATAGTTTATCCGTACTGTTAACTTGACGGATTAAATCCCGATGTAATTCCTGATGTGAAATTTTCCGGAGAAGTTACGATCAGCTCTGAAATACACCAGTGATTAAATTTTTAATATATAAAGATTGTCGTACGTTGTGCTTCTGTATAATACTCACTTTTCCGCAAAAATTAGATAGAAAGCTTTAGAAAAACATTATAAAAGATTTAGAAAAGCTTGACATTTAAGTATATCATAATATAATGGATACGTGTGATACAAAATAGAAATGTTACTGATTTCTTTTAGAAATGTATTATTTTGAAATATCATACAGACTACCAAAAAGCTGCACTCTTTTATGAGTCATATGCGTGAATATGATATTCTTCTCATGGGGATGAGTAATATACGTACATATATGAAAGGGAGATGCGATGCTAACATGCCGAAACGAATAGCGGATACTTGGCACCCCTATAATGACTCCTCCGCTTCTCGTCTTCTTTTTCCATGTCGTTTTCACTTTCCCTCAAACCCTCCAATCTTTCTTTCTTTTTAGAAATATCGATTTTTGGTATAATTTCTCTTTTATAAGAAAATTTCGTTTTCTTTATAATAAGTTTAAAATAATTATAAGCATTGGGTAATATTAATAATATATGTCTCTAAGTGTGTGTGTTAAACGTATCGAGAGTGCAATATACGTAACGTGGTTTGATTTATACAGCTGCTAAATGTGATCTCTATTAAGCGTGTACTTTGTATATGGACTCCAGAGTATGGTAAATCATGAGGGTATAGCATCGGGTGCGCTCCCATAGGACATAATAATATAATCGCGCCCCAAAGTACCAAGTTCGACACCGCCGATGTCGGACGAGCTTCAGAAATAATTAACAGCCTAGCTCCGTGTCTCTTAGCTTGACTGGCATCATCTGTCGTCGAGAAACATGTCTCTTCATTTACAGATTAAATTTTTTAAAGCAATAAATAATTTAATTAATTCTTCTGCAGACAAAGATGTGAGAACGCAACACGTTTTTAAGATTATTGTAATTTTGTGAAATTTATATCATAAAAAAGAGTTGAAAATAATTTATTCGAAGACATTTTTAAATTACTTTCCCAAAGTTAATTATTAGAACATTCTAAATTAATGAAGATTTAATCATGACAATATTTGTAACATAATTTATTGCACGTACATTTCCAAGTAGGTGTATCTACGATAATACTTCATTTAAAAGTTACCAAGATAGATGGAGTCTCTTGAATATTTTAAATATATTACACATAAGTAATTAGAAACTCATTACGCCCCATCTTCTTAAAGTACAAGTAGTGTTTCTCGTAGACAATCACGTTCGCGGAGGTTGCTTTATAATAAAGAGGTAACAACCACCCTCATAGGCGTGACAACTCACGTGTCTGCCCACGCAGTAACTCGTGCATACACGTGAAACCGAGCACGTGAATAGGGGAGCAGGCTTTGATTCGGACTTTCGAGCGACTCTGCGAGAACTTTACGAAGAGGACAACGAGGGTTGGTGGTGCTCTCTATGTGTAGAAGACCTTGGGGAAATCCTAATATTTTAACCAGCGCGGCGGCGAGGTATGAAAGAACCCGCGCAAGCAGAGCACTGAAAGGGAAATGGGGTGTTGTGCCGAGTCATCCCTGCGTCTACCCTCGTAGACGAGCATCTACATACGTATATATATATCCGTATGCGGTACCCCTGGAGGAAAGTACTTGCAATTAACGCGGTAAGACTTGGCTATTGCAAAGGGTGAGCCATTCCTTCACCCTCCTCGGGTTCTTTCGGTTCCGACTCTTATTCAAAGTGAGCTTGGAGGAGATGAGCTGGAATTTGTGCTCAATTATTTGTCAATGATATGTATAATTTTTACGCCTGTAACGTATGTGTATATATAATTACTATCAGTGACATAATGTTGTTTGTTATATTAAAAAATATTTTACACGCAAAAATATCCTTGCTAGGCTTATAAATGATCTCGATACGCTTTTCAAGAGTGGATTTCTTTCCCCATACCGAAAATACGACTTAGTCATTGACTGTCCATTGTGCTACTAAGTGCATATCCGTGTGAAATCTCAGCGGTACAGTTATCTCGAATTTTCAGATATATTCTCATGTGAAACGATCGGTCGCCGTGACGAATAGATTTTGTGGTGCATTTTTTACAGTTGTAGCGTCGACGGTTTTATACGAGAAGACCGTTTATGTAAATCGCTATAAAGTATATAGTGTCGCACATAAAATCAGGAAGTAAAATTCATGGTTTTTTTTTATTCTAGTGACAAGAATGATAAGTTACTTAATATTAGTATTATAGTAAAATATATAAAAATATATATGTATGTATATAAAAAGTAATTTATAATCATATAAAATATATTGCATAAAATGTGATAATAAAATTACTCACGATTTCAAGTTTCGACACGTTTAACGAAACTTGCACGTAGAAGGTATAAAACATTTCGATATCAGCCGTGCGACGTATTTTCAAATTTATTACATTTGACTCAAATAAAATGTGCAGAAAAAGCAATTTCTTAGTGTTGATAATACGACGAATGTAATTGTAGGAGCACGTGCGTGCAAGTTATTGAATGTTTCCGCAAAGCAATTTCGTTCGATTATATCTCGGCCGATATATCTCGTATTTCCTTAATCTTTCTCTTCTTTCTTCCATTCGATTACTTCTTCCTGTAGAAAAATGACAATGACGGTATCATATTCCCGGCTATTTGACAGACACATTTACAGGAATATTCTGTCGATAAAAGTTATCTCACCACTTTATTTTACGATCAGACTCATTGGCGTTCTTCTTATCATGCACTGAAAAAAAAGATTGGCTGCTGCAGCAAATTAGATGGTAAAATATGGCATAGCAGTTTTTAATTGGCTGCAGCAGCCAATTTTTGGTTGCGTTAACCTATCCGCAATGTCAGTATAGGATTTCGATAGGCTAACACAACCAAAAATTGTCTAATGCAACCAATTAAAAATGCTATGCCATATTTTACCATCTAATTTGCTGCCAATCTTTTTTTTCAGTGTGTCATTTAATGTAGAATTTGTGTCTACACTGAGAGAATTTTCTTTTAAAATTTACCCTGAAAAAATGGTAGTTGCGGTACAATACAATATTTAAAAATTTTTACCATACACTTCAGTAAAATTGATCAAACTTATTTTATACTTTATTGTAGTTTTATTAATGAATGAGAGAGATTTACATTAAAATTCTTCGAAATACAATGTTTTCACACGACTGTCATCATATTTTCAGGGTAAATTCTAAGAAAAAATTCTCTCCGTGTAGAAATCAATGAAACCTCGCGTATGTTTTTATGGCCTTATATTCTATCATTCTTGTATCATCTCTTTTTATTGAATCGTATTTTGCAATTCCTTAATAAAATAAAGGAATTTTATAAATTAGTAATTTTTCTCGGAGGAAGGAAATATACTTGCTAATGGCCAACGACAATAGCATAATATGTCCAAGTCTAATCGTAATTCGATATTATTACTATCTCTCCAGCAGTCTACTTTCTTCGCGTCACATGGCAAAAAAATTGCTGAAAAGCAGAAAAAAGAAGAAGGATTCGGCTACTCCTGCTGACATAACGCTCGTTCTCCGAACCACTTGCAATTCTTCCGCTTTCAGCGTGAAAAAGTGGAGGAGACGTCTCTCAGGTACCAAAACTGTCATCGAATGAATAGAAAGCTCGAATAGAGCTCTATGGCCATTCCTTCTCCAATCTGAATCCTTTCACTTTTTAACCCAGTTTCCATTGTTAGATTACTAGGCTGTGTTCCTGTCACGCTTGCTGATTACCGAACTGTCTATATAGTTGGTACTATATCATTTTTTTCATTTCTTAAAATCATTATTATACTTATCTTGTCTATAATTAGATATACATATAATAAATAATTAATCAGTTCATATATATTCTATTTTTAATAAATTATATTAAAACATGTGACACATTTATATATTTAAAGCGAAGAAATTACATTGCAATTTACGTGTCTTTTTTATCTTTCGTATACACTTGTATGTCTATTTATGTGTATTCTTGGAAAAATTCTTGGAATGACGCGTATATAAAGAATGATTAATACAAATCCTTGACGCTCCTTGGTCATCGTTTACAAGCACCTTGTTTCTTTCTTGGTTTACCTTCAAGCGGAATAAATCGTGGACGTAATTTCGTCTTAAATAGTTACTCATTTTCATGAGAAAATAACATAAATGTATATCTATAAAATGTATATTTATGGCGCCATTTCGTAAATAATTATGTCCAAATGTGTTACAATATTATAAATATTTTTCTGTACAAATGTAATAATTTGAAATATGTTAAAATTAAATGTATATCGGAAACGTGATTTGCAATTATTTGGAGTGCAATAAAAAGTAGAAAATAGAGAACAAGAGCTTACGAATGTATAATATCTTAAAAAAAAGTGGCAAACATTTTTTTCAAAACAAATAAGTGTCTTTCAAAACGCAACGCGCGCGCAGAAAGAGATAGGTGAATTAACATCTAAAATGTAGATCAACGTGATGCAGTAGCATAAATAAACTACAAAAATCGAACTTTCACGCGTTCTCTCATGCGAGAGAGGAGAGCGAAAGGTACATGACGATGGAGATCTATTCTGTTCATTGCTCTTTCTCTCTTTCCTTTCTTCGATCTAATAATAAGTTTCTTATTTTATCTCTTCCTCGTTATTATCTCTGATATACTGCACGCGTCTATTTTACGCTGTGTGGATTTATTACAATCGTAGAGTCACGATCTCTTTTGGATTACGCCAATTCTCTTATTCCACAGTTTCCCCACTCGCAGCAAGTGTTTTCATTTGCTTTGGTCCACGGTAAACGAGCGCCGAGCGTAGTAGTGCCGCGTCAGGTATTGCCGCGCAAGGTATTTCTCGCGATCGAAGTGTGTTTATTATTTTTGAAGGATTTTCTCAGGATTATTATTTTTAAAGGATTTTCTTCTATCACCACTTGACAGCTGCCGACCGCAGCGAGACAGGCATGAGGACTTTTTGGACCATCATTCTTGGCGTTATCATCGTGATCGCTGCGGTGCACGCCAAGCCTACGATTTACAAAAAGAATCAAGATAATGTATTCGAGCCAGGTAAGCGAAAAATTTGCGATTCATTAAGAAACATCGTAGATTAAATCGGTAAAAAAACGCGTTTAAATATTTTGTTGTGTGTGTTGTGTGTAAATAAATTTAAATATTCTTCCGTCCGCTTATTCTCGCTTTTCGCTTGGAAGAGGAAAAGAGAGATTGCGTATGTATCTTTGAATATTTCTCAATTACGAAATCTGAACTCTTCTTAGCGCTTGAAGAATAATACGTTCCTGATGATAAAAATCGGAGCGTAAATTGGATGTAATGGAAGAGAAGCGTAAACGAAATTTCTAAAAGGCAAAAATTGGAACAATGAAATGTAAAAGAAGCACTTACGCTTCTTTTACATTTTGATGTTTCAATTTTCGCTTCCTAGAAGTTTCGTTTACGCTTCCGTTACTCTCCCATTCGACTTACACTTGGATTTTTATTTTCATCAGGGTTGTTGCCGACACGTGTGCAAATTGCATGTTTTCCAATACATCTATAGTTATCCATCATTACATAGCAATTTCCCTCTTAAAACAATAATAAAAAAATGGATCCTTTATTTTACACTAAAAATTGCACGTGGACGAAATTGTGCTACGGAATGAGTTTTCCAATTTTGGCAAAGGATCGATCCTTTCAATTTACGGTTTTTACAACGTGTGAAACATATAACGTTGTCATTCCAGAAAACCAAGTGAATAAGTTTTATCCTGCATATCGACAAAACGAAATATCAATACGATATACATAACAAAAAAATCTATTTCAATTTGAAAGTTTGCTTTTTTCTCAGACAAGAGAACTTAAATAACGCACAGAAAAATATCTACGCAGAAGAAACTTTCACTTTAGTAATTAGAGTCTAAGAATCTAATTAACCACACTAATTAACACGGAGATTGCATGTCCTTATTTCTTTTGCGCTGCATTTGTTTCTTCTACACACATCGTTCGCCTCGTGCACGAGTTGATGATAAATGTATGTTAACAAAAAAGAAATATCCGAGGTGTTACTGACCATATAAAGAGCGATCTCTCTCGAGAATTCTGAATTCGCGCGAACGATATTCGACAGGTGAATGGAACAGGACGATGATGTCAGCCAGGTAACGCGTAGGTTTCGACGATCAGGTTCACTACGTATATCGCGTTAATAACGTGCATTCCTAGCTATATTTTACTTTACGAAATTTTTTACATGCCCTGGTGAAAATTTTTCTCAGAATTTTTCATATAATTTTTCAGAATTTCTATATAATTTTATATAACTTTCTCACATTTTTTTATACGAATTGGAACACTTCTTAGAATTTTTCATATATGTTACTCATGAAATATCGTTAGATATTTCTTAAAATTTTTGTAAGTATAATTTCTGATGAAATGTTATAAAATCTAAAGAATTAAAAAATATTTTTTTAAAATATATTATGTGATGAGAAATTTCAGAATATTTCAGAATTCACTTGTATGAAAAATTCTGAGAGAAGATGTAAACTTTTCAAATATTTCTGAGTATTTCTGAAAAATGTTCCAATTCGTATAAAAATTCAGAAAAAAATTTTCACCAGGGTGTCGCTATATATATTACGCATGACAGGAACACAGAGTGATATCTTTTCTAATCTTTCTTGCTGCCGGCGCGAACGGTTGGAAAGGCGAATCGCTAAATAAAGTAAGACGCCCACGCGTAAAAGGTGTTAATAGAAGTTACATATATGTCGTCCTTGAATTGTCGTTACAACGCGAGAGAGAGGAGCGGCGGGAAGAGGGGTAGAGACGATGCGTTTCTCAGCAACCAAGTGCAATCGTCGCTCGAATGAACAATTCGAAAGGATTTCTCTGTGGTAGAATACTGTAGGTGTATACACTTGAATTCATTCTAGTGTGAAGAGATGCCGCTATTATAATGCACATTATAGTGTACGTAAACGAGATTTGTGCCTTGTAGATGAGATGCGAATGTCGCCGAAGATTATACATATTATATGAAACGTATGACCATTGTATTATATTAGCTCGCTCGCACCGCTGTTGTAATTAAAATCAATATAGATATTCAATTCATATATATATGTATGATATTCGCGATATAGATAGCTCTATCATTGTCATGCGATTGCTATATACACGATACACGACATTTACTGCCGTCTTGACATTTCCGTCGTTTAATTTTTGGTGTTTCAACTTTCTATTTTTTTCTTGTATGCGGAATGAATGATTAACTTTCACTTTACATACACATACACACACACACATATATATATATTTGGTTTATGAATATCTTATACCGATTATTGGTAATCGATATAAAATAATTGTACAAGTTACATTATCGAGTATAGATGTATAGTGACCTACTAAATCAGCCGACTATACGTATGTACTATAAATACTTAATAATTAATAATAATTTAATTTTTTTTTCTTTCAGTAATGGTACCCGTTTCATCCACGGTAATTCCATTACCTGTGTATAAAGTAGGCTATGGCTTAGGATTCATATCGAAAGATAAGAAGACCCAATCATCATTCAAACCAGAAGGTGGCATAAAATTGATTACGAGTACGTACAAAAGTATAACTTTAGTACAATTACGAGATCTTGTTTTTCCGACTCTTTCATAACTTTCTCTTTTCCTTATCTATATCAATAGATCGCGACGCGGATGCCGATATATATGTGAGCTGAATTGTAAAATATATACATTTTACTCGTAAATTATTATACGTGAATAACGCATACAAGTTGCACGAAAATAAATTTTTTATATATAATTCATGTAAGCGATTTTCTACGTTATCGTAGTAATTATTAACATTGATTTATTTATTCTTTTTCTAGTCAGCAAAGTCCAAGAAAAGAAGATCTAATGTAAATATTCTAAATTATGTCAAGTAATATTTGTTGGATCGCATCTTCAGAGAATGTTTGAAACCTGTGCGTTCTGCTATTAATCACACTTACTTATGCGCCTGTTATTGTTAAGTTATTTAATTAAGAAGCTCTATACACCAAAAAAATAGACCTCCATAAATGTTAATTTTTAATTATTTTATCATCGAAAATGTGTATTATCTCTAAGATATTAAATCAAAACTAGGCAGTTACATACTGTATGTATATGTACGAAGTTGTTTATATATCTATCTTACCGATTATGACCTAAGATGTTTTAAATGTTTATGTAAGAGATAGAGGATAATGCGAAACATTTATTTTGTTGTATGATGTTAATATGTAATTAACTATAAATAATATTTGTGATAATGCATCATAATAAGAAGAATACATATATATTTTAACCATTATTGTTAAAAACATATATATTTTAACCATTATTATTAAAAAAATTTTATTCTATTTTTTGTAATTTATAACTTAATAAAAAATTTGTTGCATTTCTACAATGTATTATGAAGAAACGTCCATGTTATCTTCAGCTGAAACAGTTGAAAAAATATTTAAATTTTAGTTACACAATTTTATTAAAGTACACATATTTTATATAAATATAACTGTAAAACTTACAGAATTCATTGAACATAAAATCATCTTGATATTCCTTGAGAAATTGCGTAGATCTATTTTCATCAAGAAATAAAGAATAGACACGTTTCACATCATCGATACTGACCTATCATTTAAAACATTACAATAACATCATTACAATAATATCGAATATATTCATGCAATAAATTGTATCGCCTGTTCTACTTACTTCTGTAGTTTTTCTTCGACGGCTTACAAGAGAAGCCGTCGTAATTAACTGTATGGCGTATCTCAGCGATGTTTCCGAAGCAATTCTAGTTAACACGGTCAGAGCATCGTCGGTCATTTCGCAATCCTCCTCTTCGCATCTTATTTTCAAGATTTCCTTCAACTCCTTTTCTTGATACGGACTCGTTGGAACAATAATTGCACGATCCAACAAGTCAATCGGAATACCATGAGGGCTTTTATAATGTGTTCCTCTAATTCTTGTGATACCTACGTAATTATAAATTGTTAAATAATAATAATTTAATATCAATGTAATTGATTATTCGCGCATACCTCTATTTGTTGCCATAATTACAACTGGAGCCATTTCATTCTCCAATGCTCGATTCAGAAATGAGAAACATTCGATATCCAACATATGTACTTCATCGATAAAAAGTACACCCGGAACTATTTCTGCCTTTCCTTCTTCCCTCCATTCTGCGACTTTAGCGTTTATTTGATCTCGAACTTCTGATTTTATCTCTCCTGTATCTCCGGAGAACAGTGCTAAAAAGCCATGCGTTCTACTGTTTATCACATCAACTTCATGTAATGTCACAGTGTGCACGACTTCTTTGCGTTTCTGCAATTCGCCTTCTGGACATTGTACAAAACGCGTTTGCGAACCTGTCGCATCATAATCTCGAGCTCTAGTGAAGGATCGTCCAAGTCTATTGATCTTCCCTGTGGCTTTGTCAATTGTTATAACATCACCAGCTTGTACCTAAAGATAATACGAAATTGTAATACCAAATGAGATATAATCTATTTAATATACATACATACTAACTTTTTCTTTCATTAAGCAATCAATCATTTTATTTCCTAAATCATAAATCGTTTCCATCTCAGTTGTTTTTAATGTCAACTTGCCAACTTTTACTCCAATTCCAGTTGCTGGTCTATCAACTTGAATCTCTACTACTTCACCCTCTATGATTTCTGTCTCCTCCTTAATTCTGACTCCAATAGACTTTCTAATAGCTTGAGTTAAGGCCTCTGTTTTACTCATCTCTAAAGAATAAATTTCAGAACCAGCCATTGATGTAAAAGGAGTATCTAGGCCTAAAGCTTGCGCCATTCCCATAGCAATAGCTGTTTTTCCTGTGCCAGGTTGTCCAGCCAATAAAATTGCACGACCTGCTATTTTACTTTCCTTAATCATCTCTAGGATAACGCCAGCAGCTCGGCGTGCCATGAGCTGTCCAACCATACCTTGAGAAACCTAATACAGTAACAACAAATGTTAATTTTTATTAAATCGTTTATAATTAATAAAAATATCAATTCTTTGCAAAAAATGCAGAATATTCACATTGCGGGGCTCTAAACTATCATTCAGTCCTAAACCTCTGATATGAGAATGAGCACCAATACGCTCTATCCTGGTGACCTCACGTACTTCTTGCACATTAGTACTAATCTGAAATAAAAAATAATTGGATACATGATACTTTAATATTTGCGTATTACGATTCAAGTAATTGCAATAAAATGGATCAAACATTTGGTTGCTATGCCAACTAATAAGGCACAAATTATTAATAAATTTATAGTACTGCTTTTTTTTATAAAAGCAATATAATTCTTTTATATAAAAATTATACAAACTATATATATATATATATACACACACAACACAAAGTACAATAAATGTATGTATTAAAAGAGATACAGATTAATCGGCGTGGATAGTTTTTGATGTAATAAAACTTCAATGAGATTATAGGAAAAAAATTCTTTTTTCTTTAGACAAAAATATACTTATGGCAGATACATAATTAAATAATAAATCTTACCGCCATGTTTAATAATAATACTGCTTCTTTCTCTCAAACCACGCGAAACGTGGATATATGCAAAAACGTGCCGACTGCCAAAGCCGTTATATTTGTGCCTTGTGGCAGTGTGGCAACTGGCAAATGTATGTAGTGATATGTTGTGAGTCATGCGAGAGTGCTAGTCGAGTAGGGCTACGTTCGGAAATAACACCCGGGTACTCCCGTGTATCATCTTATCCTTATTTAACATTGGGTGAACAATTGGGTGAACAACAAGGATAAAATGATACATGAAGGCATCGGGTGATATTTCCGAACGCAGTCTAGAAGGAATGTTGATAGCCAATGACAAGGCAAATCCATAAGCCGGCGCGCTCACCAATGGCTGCAAACATGAAGGCCATCACACGTACAAAATTTTAGTCGTAATCGTAGGATCGCAAGTAAATCAACCAATCACAATCAAAATTACGATCTCACGTTTTAAAACGGTCGATTGTGATTGGCCGATTTGCTTACGGCCTTACGATTACAACTAAAATTTTTTTATGCTGGGTCTACAAGTCGTAGCAGTCGTAGGGTCTTAAGTCGTAGAAAATTGACCAATCACAGTTAATTATTCTTCTCATATTCGACTGTGATTGATCAATTTTCTACGACTTAAGACTCTACGATTATTACGACTTCTATTATAGACCCCGCATTACATGTGATGGCCTTGTTCCTTTTAGCTGAACTTTTGCACCAGTTCATCTTTCTTCCTTTTCTCTTTAGGAAGAAAAAAAAAGAAGAAAGATAAACTGGTGCCAAAGTCAGCCAAAAAGAACAGGCCTATAAGGGCGTGTTCACATCTTGACGGAAAAGCAGAAAATGTATATAGTCACGTAGTTCCCAAACTGAAAATGGAGGTACTGGCGGTAGTATACGGGTGATTTCGATGGTAACAGGAAAAAAGGCCGGCATGGCCCCTTTCAGATTTCTCTCTACTCCTACCATAGTTCCTACTCACTTTTTTACCAAGCGCGTTGGAGTGAGTAAGAGCCTGCGCACAATGTATCAAATATTAGGAACAGGAATAAATATTAAGATTTCAACCTATTAGAAACCGTGTATTCCGGTGTAACTGATATCTGATGAAATCTTAACATTTATTTCTGTTCGTAATATTTCCTCCATTGTGTGCAGGGCAAAAATTTTAGTCGTAATCGTAAGGTCGCAAGTAAATCGACCAATCACAATCAAAATTACGATCTCGCGTTTAAAAACGCTCGACTATGATTGGCCGATTACGACTAAAATTTTTGTATGTATGATGGCCTTAAGGGCCCTGGCACACAACAAACTTAAGGCAGTAAGACGTAAGCAGTAAGGAAATCAACATGTTGGATTCGCTACTGCTTATGTTATGGCCTTATGGACTCTACTGCGATTGGTCAATTCGCTTACTGCTTACATTTTATTGCTTAAGTTTTTTTGTGTGCCATGGCCTTAACCCCGGATCTACAATAGAGTTTTAAGCCTTAAGCCGTAAGAAATTGACCAATTACAGTCGAATCTGAGGAAAATAATCGACTGTGATTCGTCCATTTCTTATGGGGCTTAAGGCTTAAAACTCTATTGTAGATCCGGACTAATTGGTCAATTTCTTACGGCTTAAGGTTTAAAACACTTATTGTAAATCCGGACTTAAGCGTAGGATGGGAAACCGACGTTGCCACTTTGAACAACGAGATCAGGCATAAAATGGGATAGATATAAGGCCTGTTCTTTTTGGCTAAACTTTTGCACCAGTTCACCTTTCTTCCTTTTCTCTCTAGGAAGAAAGAAAAGGAAGAAAGACGAACTGGTGCAAAAGTTCAACCAAAAAGAATAGGCTATACATTTGATCTTGAAAAGAGAAGATGCCGAGTGCCAAAAATGTAAGCAACGCGAACAGACCTATAATCGCGACCTCGCATGAACTACCGCGCACGTGACTTTTCAATTCTTTTCTAAATCCAATTACAAACTTCCAATCTCGTAATTTTGACTCTCGTAATATAAGATTTACTAAAAGACTTAATATTAGCGCAAAGTTAATCGTGGGTGAAATTGTATGTAAACCTAAAGTTCAATACTATAAAGATCAAATTGTTACATGATAATAGTACGTTATTATTTTTTTGCCTTCTACCCTATATCCTTCTCTTTCTTAATTGCATTATGCGTGCCAGGATCGTTGATTCCACGTGTTTCACGTTAGCACAAGAAGAATCGCCACGTGTTCGACCTCGACGCCTGTGCTCCCCATGTGGCTACTGGCAACATCCCCCGAGGTTACATCCAGGAGGTAACGGCAGAACCATCATCATCAGCGTCAGATAAAAGGGGCCAATATTAATTGCAAAAGGTAATTTCGCGCTGTAACCTCGTGCGCAATATCCGCGTCTCGTCTTTCCCGCGCAACGATCACGTTTCGCTCAATCTTGCCTTAACTACCTAGCGCGGTAATTGACCAATCATAGTTGATTATTCTTCTCATATTCGACTGTGATTGGTCAATTTTCTATGACTTAAGACCTTACGACTGCTACGACTTCTATTGTAG